CGCGCGGCCCCCTCGCCCCTTTTGGGGTACCCCGCCAACCCTGCAGCCCGCGGGGGAAGCGGAGCTCCTGGCTCAAATGACCTCCCTTCGGAGGGAGATGGCTAAACTCCAGGAACGTAACAATCTCCTTTCGTCCAAATTAGACGAAACCCAACGGTTGCTTAACCAGCAGGAAACACAAAACGTTCAGACCACCGAATCTTCCCAGAGTCAGCAGACCCCCGGTCGGCAAAAGAAGGGAAAGCAGGGGGCAAAGGCAACGCTTGCGCCTTCCAAACAGCTGGTGGTCCCGTCACCCCAGGACCAACCTCACGTACCGAAGAAGGTGTACACCGATTGTCGTCATCGGATAAACGATAAAAAGGATGCCGAACGGCAAAGGTCCCCAATCCGAATAAATGCCCGCTTGAGGGACTCCCGGATGAGGGTCCTGGGGGATAAGTCTCCCATTCGGAGGGTTCAGGGTTTGGATTCGGCACTGGAGTCCGATGATGAGTACGTCCCCCGCAGGGGCAACGAATCAAGCTACCGTTCGGAAGCTCCCCCGGAGTACTCAAAAGCTCGAACGCCAAGTCCGAGGAGAGCTTCCGAAGACTTCAGTTTCGAAGGCGTCCCCAGCCAAGACCCCACCATCCGCCTACTCCTTCAAAGAATCCAGAAGATGGAGGATGACCGAACCCAGTCCCAGGTCCCTGATTGGGGAAAACTTCGGCCGGGACCATTTACCGATCGCATCAAGAAGTCCAGATCGGACAGGGAGATGCAGCCGTTGCGCATACCTTTCTATACCGGTGTGGAAGACCCCTTGACGCACCTTCACTCCTTCCAATCGGCAGTTGGGTGTAAGGGCCTCAGCGACGAGGGGCAATGTCTGCTATTTCTGTCTTCCCTTACCGAAGCTGCACTGAACTGGTTCTACCGTCTCGAACCAGGGACGGTGAACTCCTTTGATGAGCTGAAGCAAATTTTCCTCAACCACTTCATGATCCAGACGGACCGTTTGTACTCTGCCGATGATCTATACACGATTCGGCAAAGGGAAGACGAACCCTTACGTGAATACGCAGCGCGCTTCAGTCACGAGTACTCGAGGTGTCCTGAAACGGACGATAGAGCTGCCTACGGCGCCTTCAAGAGTGGCTTACGGTCCTCTCACTTCCGGTACCTTGAGCACAGTAGCAACTGGCGCACGTACGACGAGTTGATGAAGCAGGCGGCAGTCCATGCGAAGGCCGAATACTTCAATTCCAAACCTGGGCCTTCGGCTCGGAAGGAGGAGTCGGCCACCAAAAGTTATCCGGACCGGACCGATGACTCGATGGCCGGACACAAACGGAAGGATGACCGTGACAGCCGTCAGGGAAACTCAAAGAAGGGACGCGGGAAGTACGGTCGTAAAGACCACCGAGCCCCCCTCCCAAATCACGATCGTGCCCAGGAAGACTGCGACTGGCCGAC